CATGGTGATGTAGAAGACATCACTTTGAGAGTCTCCTGACACACCGGGGACACATGGTGATGTAGAAGACATCACTTTGAGAGTCTCCTGACACACCGGGGACACATGGTGATGTAGAAGACATCACTTTGAGAGTCTCCTGACACACCAGGGACACATGGTGATGTAGAAGACATCACTTTGAGAGTCTCCTGACACACCGGGGACACATGGTGATGTAGAGAAGACATCACTTTGAGAGTCTCCTGACACACCGGGGACACATGGTGATGTAGAAGACATCACTTTGAGAGTCTCCTGACACACCAGGGACACACGGTGATGTAGAGAAGACATCACTTTGAGAGTCTCCTGACACAAGCGGGGACACATGGTGATGTAGAAGACATCACTTTGAGAGTCTCCTGACACACCGGGGACACATGGTGATGTAGAAGACATCACTTTGAGAGTCTCCTGACACACCGGGGGCACATGGTGATGTAGAAGACATCACTTTGAGAGTCTCCTGACACACCGGGGACACATGGTGATGTAGAAGACATCACTTTGAGAGTCTCCTGACACACCGGGGACACATGGTGATGTAGAAGACATCACTTTGAGAGTCTCCTGACACACCAGGGACACATGGTGATGTAGAAGACATCACTTTGAGAGTCTCCTGACACACCGGGGACACATGGTGATGTAGAGAAGACATCACTTTGAGAGTCTCCTGACACACCGGGGACACATGGTGATGTAGAAGACATCACTTTGAGAGTCTCCTGACACACCGGGGACACATGGTGATGTAGAAGACATCACTTTGAGAGTCTCCTGACACACCGGGGACACATGGTGATGTAGAAGACATCACTTTGAGAGTCTCCTGACACACCGGGGACACATGGTGATGTAGAAGACATCACTTTGAGAGTCTCCTGACACACCGGGGACACATGGTGATGTAGAAGACATCACTTTGAGAGTCTCCTGACACACCGAGGACACATGGTGATGTAGAGAAGACATCACTTTGAGAGTCTCCTGACACACCGGGGACACATGGTGATGAAGAGAAGACATCACTTTGAGAGTCTCCTGACACACCGGGGACACATGGTGATGTAGAGAAGACATCACTTTGAGAGTCTCCTGACACACCGGGGACACATGGTGATGAAGAGAAGACATCACTTTGAGAGTCTCCTGACACACCGGGGACACATGGTGATGAAGAGAAGACATCACTTAGAGAGTCTCCTGACACACCGAGGACACATGGTGATGTAGAAGACATCACTTTGAGAGTCTCCTGACACACCGGGGACACATGGTGATGTAGAAGACATCACTTTGAGAGTCTCCTGACACACCAGGGACACATGGTGATGTAGAAGACATCACTTTGAGAGTCTCCTGACACACCGGGGACACATGGTGATGTAGAAGACATCACTTTGAGAGTCTCCTGACACACCGGGGACACATGGTGATGTAGAAGACATCACTTAGAGAGTCTCCTGACACACGGTGATGTAGAAGACATCACTTTGAGAGTCTCCTGACACACCAGGGACACATGGTGATGTAGAAGACATCACTTTAAGAGTCTCCTGACACACCGGGGACACATGGTGATGTAGAAGACATCACTTTGAGAGTCTCCTGACACACCGGGGACACATGGTGATGTAGAAGACATCACTTTGAGAGTCTCCTGACACACCGGGGACACATGGTGATGTAGAAGACATCACTTTGAGAGTCTCCTGACACACCAGGGACACATGGTGATGTAGAAGACATCACTTTGAGAGTCTCCTGACACACCGGGGACACATGGTGATGTAGAAGACATCACTTTGAGAGTCTCCTGACACACCGGGGACACATGGTGATGTAGAAGACATCACTTTGAGAGTCTCCTGACACACCGGGGACACATGGTGATGTAGAAGACATCACTTTGAGAGTCTCCTGACACACCGGGGACACATGGTGATGTAGAAGACATCACTTTGAGAGTCTCCTGACACATCCGGGACACATGGTGATGTAGAGAAGACATCACTTTGAGAGTCTCCTGACACCACCGGGGACACATGGTGATGTAAGAGAAGACATCACTTTGAGAGTCTCCTGACACACCGGGGACACATGGTGATGTAGAGAAGACATCACTTGAGAGTCTCCTGACACACCGGGGACACATGGTGATGTAGAGAAGACATCACTTTGAGAGTCTCCTGACACCACCGGGACACTGGTGATGTAAGAGACATCACTTTGAGAGTCTCCTGACACAACCAGGGACACATGGTGATGTAAGGAAGACATCACTTTGAGAGTCTCCTGACACACCGGGGACACATGGTGATGATAGAAGACATCACTTTGAGGAGTCTCCTGACACCAGGGACACATGGTGATGTAGAAGACATCACGTTGAGAGTCCTCCTGACACACCAGGGGACACATGGTGATGTAGAAGACATCACTTTGAGAGTCTCCTGACACACCGGGGACACATGGTGATGTAGAAGACATCACTTAGAGAGTCTCCTGACACACCAGGGACACATGGTGATGTAGAAGACATCACTTTGAGAGTCTCCTGACACACCGGGGACACATGGTGATGTAGAAGACATCACTTAGAGAGTCTCCTGACACACCGGGGACACATGGTGATGTAGAAGAGACATCACTTAGAGAGTCTCCTGACACACGGTGAGGTAGAAGACATCACTTGAGAGTCTCCTGACACACCAGGGGACACATGGTGATGTAGAAGACATCACTTTGAGAGTCTCCTGACACACCGGGGACACATGGTGATGTAGAAGACATCACTTGAGAGTCTCCTGACACACCGGGACACATGGTGATGTAGAAGACATCACTTTGAGAGTCTCCTGACACACCGGGGACACATGGTGATGTAGAAGACATCACTTAGAGAGTCTCCTGACACACCGGGGACACATGGTGATGTAGAGAAGACATCACTTTGAGAGTCTCCTGACACACCGGGGACACATGGTGATGTAGAGAAGACATCACTTTGAGAGTCTCCTGACACACCGGGGACACATGGTGATGTAGAAGACATCACTTAGAGAGTCTCCTGACACACCGGGGACACATGGTGATGTAGAAGACATCACTTTGAGAGTCTCCTGACACACCGGGGACACATGGTGATGTAGAAGACATCACTTTGAGAGTCTCCTGACACACCGGGGACACATGGTGATGTAGAAGACATCACTTTGAGAGTCTCCTGACACACCGGGGACACATGGTGATGTAGAAGACATCACTTTGAGAGTCTCCTGACACACCGGGGACACATGGTGATGTAGAGAAGACATCACTTTGAGAGTCTCCTGACACACCGGGGACACATGGTGATGTAGAAGACATCACTTTGAGAGTCTCCTGACACACCGGGGACACATGGTGATGTAGAAGACATCACTTTGAGAGTCTCCTGACACACCGGGGACACATGGTGATGTAGAAGCATCACTAGAGAGTCTCCTGACACACCAGGGACACATGTGATGTAGAAGACATCACTTAGAGAGTCTCCTGACACACCGGGGACACATGGTGATGTAGAGAAGACATCACTTTGAGAGTCTCCTGACACACCGGGGACACATGGTGATGTAGAAGACATCACTTTGAGAGTCTCCTGACACACCGGGGACACATGGTGATGTAGAGAAGACATCACTTTGAGAGTCTCCTGACACACCGGGGACACATGGTGATGTAGAGAAGACATCACTTTGAGAGTCTCATGACACACCGAGGACACATGGTGATGTAGAAGACATCACTTTGAGAGTCTCCTGACACACCGAGGACACATGGTGATGTAGAAGACATCACTTTGAGAGTCTCCTGACACACCGGGGACACACGGTGATGTAGAAGACATCACTTTGAGAGTCTCCTGACACACCGGGGACACATGGTGATGTAGAAGACATCACTTTGAGAGTCTCCTGACACACCGGGGACACATGGTGATGTAGAAGACATCACTTTGAGAGTCTCCTGACACACCGAGGACACATGGTGATGTAGAGAAGACATCACTTTGAGAGTCTCCTGACACACCGGGGACACATGGTGATGTAGAAGACATCACTTTGAGAGTCTCCTGACACACCGGGGACACATGGTGATGTAGAAGACATCACTTTGAGAGTCTCCTGACACACCGGGGACACATGGTGATGTAGAAGACATCACTTTGAGAGTCTCCTGACACACCAGGGACACATGGTGATGTAGAAGACATCACTTTGAGAGTCTCCTGACACACCGAGGACACATGGTGATGTAGAGAAGACATCACTTTGAGAGTCTCCTGACACACCGGGGACACATGGTGATGTAGAAGACATCACTTTGAGAGTCTCCTGACACACCGGGGACACATGGTGATGTAGAAGACATCACTTTGAGAGTCTCCTGACACACCGGGGACACATGGTGATGTAGAGAAGACATCACTTTGAGAGTCTCCTGACACACCGGGGACACATGGTGATGTGGAGAAGACATCAGAAAGTGCATTTTGCATGATAGGAGACCTTGTACAAGTTCACTTGTAAATTTGACTATGCTGCCACCTGCTGGTACAAAACACAGATATGAGCCCAGGGTGTTATCTAAGATTAGATCAAATAAGATAAGATGGATCTTTATTAATCCCCGTGGGGAAGTGCAGTAGTTTAACAGCAACAGGGTGAGATTGAGAAATAGCACCGATTCACACAGATTAGAGATTCATTAAATGAATGATACAATTGAAATGATATACAGGTAAGTAACTTTTAAAATAAGAAATGAATGATATATATATATATACATATTTGGGTCATATATACATATTAAATATATTTAATTAGTGTGTCGGTAAGAAGTTATTGTGAGAACAGTGTGTGTTGTCACATTACACATCTCCAGGTGAGGAAAGGGATCCGAGGACTCACTCAAAGTGCTGCTTGATCTGACTCTCCTCGGCGTATTTAGAGATGCCGTTAATGAACAAAGTGCGCTTCACCTGCAAGACACAACACTGGGATTAGAACACAAACACACCTTCTCATGTGTTCAAGATTCACATGCAGGTAAGGTGTGTGTGTGATGCTGGAGGTGTGTGTGTGTGTGTGTGTGTGTGTGTGTGTGTGTGTGTGTGTGTGTGTGTGTGGCTCACCAGGCCCTCCTCCTTGTAGTGCATCTTGGAGGTGTGTGTGTGTGTGTGTGTGTGTGTGTGTGTGTGTGTGTGTGTGGCTCACCAGGTCGTCCTCCTTGTAGTGCATCTTGGAGGTGTGTGTGTGTGTGTGTGTGTGTGTGTGTGTGTGTGTGGCTCACCAGGTCGTCTTCCTTGTAGTGCATCTTGGAGGTGTGTGTGTGTGTGTGTGTGTGTGTGTGTGTGTGTGTGTGTGTGGCTCACCAGGTCGTCCTCCTTGTAGTGCATCTTGGAGGTGTGTGTGTGTGTGTGTGTGTGTGTGTGTGTGTGTGTGTGTGGCTCACCAGGTCGTCCTCCTTGTAGTGCATCTTGGAGGTGTGTGTGTGTGTGTGTGTGTGTGGCTCACCAGGTCGTCCTCCTTGTAGTGCATCTTGGAGGTGTGTGTGTGTGTCTGTGTGTGTGTGTGTGTGTGTGGCTCACCAGGTCGTCCTCCTTGTAGTGCATCTTGGAGGTGTGTGTGTGTGTGTGTGTGTGTGTGTGTGTGTGTGTGTGTGTGTGTGTGTGTGGCTCACCAGGTCGTCCTCCTTGTAGTGCATCTTGGAGGTGTGTGTGTGTGTGTGTGTGTGTGTGTGTGTGTGTGTGTGTGTGGCTCACCAGGTCGTCCTCCTTGTAGTGCATCTTGGAGGTGTGTGTGTGTGTGTGTGTGTGTGTGTGTGTGTGTGTGTGTGTGTGGCTCACCAGGTCGTCTTCCTTGTAGTGCATCTTGGAGGTGTGTGTGTGTGTGTGTGTGTGTGTGTGTGTGTGTGGCTCACCAGGTCGTCCTCCTTGTAGTGCATCTTGGAGGTGTGTGTGTGTGTGTGTGTGTGTGTGTGTGTGTGTGTGTGTGTGTGTGTGGCTCACCAGGTCGTCTTCCTTGTAGTGCATCTTGGAGGTGTGTGTGTGTGTGTGTGTGTGTGTGTGTGTGTGTGGCTCACCAGGTCGTCCTCCTTGTAGTGCATCTTGGAGGTGTGTGTGTGTGTCTGTGTGTGTGTGTGTGTGTGTGTGTGGCTCACCAGGTCGTCCTCCTTGTAGTGCATCTTGGAGGTGTGTGTGTGTGTGTGTGTGTGTGTGTGTGTGTGTGTGTGTGTGTGGCTCACCAGGTCGTCCTCCTTGTAGTGCATCTTGGAGGTGTGTGTGTGTGTCTGTGTGTGTGTGTGTGTGTGTGGCTCACCAGGTCGTCCTCCTTGTAGTGCATCTTGGAGGTGTGTGTGTGTGTGTGTGTGTGTGTGTGTGTGTGTGGCTCACCAGGTCGTCCTCCTTGTAGTGCATCTTGGAGGTGTGTGTGTGTGTGTCTGTGTGTGTGTGTGTGTGTGTGTGGCTCACCAGGTCGTCCTCCTTGTAGTGCATCTTGGAGGTGTGTCTCCTCATGCTGTAGACGGTCAGCAGCAGGTACATGAAGGCGAAGGAGGTGTGCAGCCACAGCAGGTTGGTCCTGAGAGAGACACACAAACAAACAAATCATATTTACACAACATTCTGAAAAGGTAAATCCCACCAAATCAAAGCCAGAGCTGAAATCTAACTCAACAGGATTTATCATTTTATTCTTTTGATATTTTATCTGAAATGAGTGTTTTCATTATGATGCTATGAGTCTGTCCAGCAGCAGAGCATTAGTTATTATATATATATATATATATATAATATACAGTATATATATATATATATTCTGTATATAATATATACACAGGGTTGGGTTGTAACGGCGTTACGTAATCAGAATACAAAAATCAAGTAACTGTATTCAGCTGGCGTTACATTTGAAAAACGAATAATCTGATTACAGTTACTTTCGTAAACCTGAAGTGATTACATTTTGGAATACTTAATTAATTATTGGTGGAAGGATTTCCTCACAACATTTAATATTCATTACTAAAGGTCCGTATACCGAATCATCACAGGCAGCGCACAAAACCTGTTACCGCCGCACAGCGTTTGAAAGTAATGTGCGGGTCCGCTCAGTGAAACAACGAAACATGGAGGAACACAAGTCTGCGTTTAAATCGTGGCGATATCGACACCACTTCGATTTTAAACAAGACCATGGGAAGAATATCACGGTCCAGTGTACCTTGTGTCTTCCAGCCATCAATACACTGTCTGCATCAAAGGACTCCACGTCTAACCTCAAAAAGCACTTGGAGGTAAGTCAACGTTTGCTTTTTTTTGCTCTCTTTATTGTTGAAATGATATGAAGTCCGTTATCCCGACTTCGACAAAGTTAGCTTACTGTTTTATAAAAGGGAAATCAACACAACGAACACACACACACACACCATGCACCTTGGTGACCGGAGATCTCCTTTATAAAACTAATACAAGGGAGAATAATCGGGCAGTTCGTGTAGAGGTGTGTGTGTGTGTGTGTGTGTGTGTGTGTGTGTGTGTGTGTGTGTGTGTGTGTGTGTGTGTGTGGTTAAAACACATCAGCGGCCGCTCTTTAGCCTTTCTAATGATTCTGAAGGCGGTGCGTGAAAGGCACGGCGCGCTCCTCTTCTCAGAGGCCGAGTGAACCCTCCCGCTGCCTCCTGGTGCAGATACTGTGAGCGTCACGGACATGGTTTACTCTCATTTTTTTTCCGATCCGGTGCTTAAACAAATATAGTAACCCCTGGCCGAAATGTCCTTAAAATGAAGTCCGAGTTCGAAATATATCTCAAATAATGTATGCACTGTAATTTCCCCACATAAACATAACAGTCTGCAATGAAATGGTTGTCTCCTGTGCGCTCCACTTCACTTCCTCCTTGGCGCACCGGTAACTATCTCGAAAAAATGAATAATAAGTCGGGATAACGGACTTCATATCATTCATAGGGAGTGGGGTCAGACTAATGTGGAAGAGCAAATGAAATGCTCTCACATTCGTCTGGTTTCCAGTCTATGTAATCTTTGTTTTTAATGTTGAATGTACAAATAATCTAAGATAAATGGGAAACTATTTCAATTGAATTGGCAGAAAGAAAATGGTGTACATAGATATTAGTAGCCTATAGTATTATTTGTGGTTTTCAGAAGTGTATATAGTGGTATTTGGCTGGATAGGCAATCTAGTATATATTGAAATGTTTTGTTTGTTACAGAGAAAACATGCTGGTGTGTATGAGAAGATTCCACCCAAAAGGACCTCAGACGATCAAGAACAGAGACCACAACCTAAACAACCAAGACTGGACACATTCATGAATCAAACCACACAGAGCAAAGTGAATGCTCTCATCTTCAATTTCATCATCCAAGATGTGCAGTCCTTTTCCATCTTGGAACAACCTGCCTTTCGGAACCTGATTGAGGGTATAAGTGGAGGGAAAACGGTCATGTGCCGAAAAAGCTTGATGAGAAGAATTGAAGATGGATTCCTTGCCATGAAGGAAAAGCTGACAGAAAAGCTCCAGACGGTATCATATGTGTGCACAACTGCTGACATCTGGACAGCACACAATCGGAGCTTTTTCGGCATGACGTGTCATTGGATAGAGGGGCAAGATCTGGAGAGAAAGTCAGTAGCACTTGCATGTGCCAGAATAAAGGGCCGTCACACTTATGACGTCATTGCAGAAAAAATCCAACAAATTCATGAGATGTTTAACATTGATAGAAAAGTGCAGGCGACAGTCACTGACAATGGCAGTAACTTTGTGAAGGCCTTCAGAGAATTCGGACAGAGGGAGGCGGTTGAAGAAGGCGGTCAAGATGGCAATGAAGATGCTGGGTTTGAGGATGTCGGTGCCATTCTTGATGGGGAAGGAGAGGATGAGGGACTCCAGTTTTGTCTGCCTCCACACCAGCGCTGTGCATCACACACACGTTAAACCTCATTGCCTCTAAAGATCTGGAGCGGGCTGTGTCACAGGGGGCAACACGCAAACTCTTCTACAGTGCCATGGCTAAGTGTTCTGCAATCTGGAATAAGGCTCACAGATCACCTTTGGCGGCAGAGGCAGTGGAGGAGATTGGGAAAATGAAATTGATCATTCCCTGTGTGACACGGTGGAATTCGGAGTACAATGCAGTTCAGAAGATTGTGTCACTTACAGATGCACAACTGGCAGAGGTTTGTGAGCGCCTTGCAGTTCCAAAGCTGCTAGCAAATGAGTTGGCATTCCTGAATGAATATGCAGAAGTACTCAAGCCACTTGCGTGTGCCCTTGACCTTCTTCAAGGGGAAACAAAGTGCTTTCTTGGACTTGTAATTCCAGCATTGCAGACCTTGAAGAAGAGGCTGTCTGACAAGAAACCCCATGTGCGCTTCTTCTCAGAAGTCATTGAAACGGTTATTAATGCAATCGATTCCCGCTTCCAGAAGTGGTTTTCAAGTCGCGAGGCTAAATTGGCGACAGCATCAAGCCCTCAGTTTCGTTTGTGGTGGCTGCCTGAAGAGGAAAAGGAAGATGTCCGCAGAATGCTGGTGGCTGAGGCGTTAAACATGGAACCAGCCGTGGAGCTGCTGCTCCTGCCTCCAGTGACTCTGGAGAGGAGGATTTCTTCAGCTACGGTCCTGGAGCCAACAGAGAAACCAGCACTGGCCCATCTGAAGAGGTCAGAAAATATCTGGAGGGCACAAACAAGAAGTTGGGTGCACTAGAGGATTTCCCCACCGTTAAGCAGGTCTTCATTAAATACAACACCACTTTGCCCTCAAGTGCTGCTGTGGAGCGTCTCTTCAGCCATGGTGGCAACCTGTTCACTCCCCAACGCAATCGCATGACCGATGAACACTTTGAGCAGGTGCTCCTGTTACGCTACAACAGCAAAATCACCACTGTGGAGAGTGAAATCGACACCGAAACCTGAGACCAAATGTTTTATTTTTGTTTTCATTTGAATTCATGTCCTGCCAACACTGGCAGGACAGAAGGCGACACGCCCGTTCTAAGCCGTGTCCCTCACTCCTCACATCCCAAGCTGCATCCCCAAAAAGTGTATTATGTTGTTACATCGTTTCAGATGTTATGTTTCAGTTGTGCTCTTGATACGCCATTAAAACAGTGAAAACACGTTCAGTTTCCTTTTGCTTTTTGTGTCTCCTGTTCACCAAAACATACCCATCTGTGATGGAAAAAGAAAGTAATCCAAAAGTAATCTAAAAGTAATCTGATTACGTTACTTTTTTAAGACACGTAACTGTAACTGTATTCGGATTACTTTCAGAGCCATGTAATCAGTAATCAGTAACTGATTACATTTACAAAGTAACCCTCCCAACCCTGTATATACAGTATACATATATATATATGATATACAGTATAAGCTCCCGGCACTCACCCAGACTTCAGGTTGGCGATGGTCGTGCGTCCGAAGCTGTACGCGTTGTTTTCTGGAACAAATACAAATTGTATTGTTTAAGATAAACATAAAAAGGAGGGGCTGAGATTCTTCAGGGTAACATTAAAAAATACACACAACACAGATATTGCAGTACACACAGGAGGTACTTTACTGGAGTACTTCTACTTCCTGCTACTTTATACGTCTACTAATCACAGAGGAAATACATTTATCTGACAGCTTCTTGTTTCAATAAACTCATCATTTATTTAGCAGCTGCAGCATCTGAGTACGATATTTATTTGGTTTATTTATATGTTTGTTTAACTATTTTCTGTAATTGAAAAGATTATACCAAAAACCATATCCAGAAAATGTAAAAACTATTTTTTAAACAGATGTTTATGTTTCTAACGGTCCTTAAACGCCTCCGTCAGTGAAGAAATTAACAAACAAAGGTAAAAACATACATTTTATTTCATCAAATTCTCATTAAAATAAGTCAAAATAAAGTGTGAGCCGTGTGCAAAACCAGATCATGTAGTAACATCAAGAAATTATTTATAATGAGACGGGCACTTTTTTAAATGTTTGTCAAATAAAATCAAGAATCTGAACTTGCGTTTTATTTTTTGATGATTTATGGCACTGTAACTTTTATTCTGCAGATTCATTTGTTTTTAAATGCTCTATCATTGGAGCCATGATGCTGCAGACAGGAAGCTGCTCGAGGTCCGGAGGGTGCAGGGGGAGGAGCTTAGTGCTAACGCTAACACCACAATGCTAACACCACGATGCTAACAGTAGCCCTTAGCTGTTACCTTCTTTCGAGGGGGGGCGGGGGCCCGCCCGGCTCAACGGAGCCTCTTTAATGATAATTCGGACTAAAATCCACACACACACACACACACACACACACACACACACACACACACACACACACACACACACACACACACACACACACACACACACACACACACACACACACACACACACACACACACACACACACACACACACACACACACACACACAGAGTCTGAAATAATAATATCTTTAACAGAACAACGTAGAGAAATGTCACAGCATTTAATCTTTACTGCAAATGTGATTTCATGTTTTTTAAATCCTGGATCCTAACACCAGGACGCTAACACTAGTATCCTAACACCAGGACGCTAACACTAGTATCCTAACACCACGATGCTAACACTAGTATCCTAACACCAGGACGCTAACACTAGTATCCTAACACCAGGACGCTAACACTAGTATCCTAACACCACGATGCTAACACTAGTATCCTAACACCAGGACGCTAACACTAGTATCCTAACACCAGGACGCTAACACTAGTATCCTAACACCACGATGCTAACACTAGTATCCTAACACCAGGACGCTAACACTAGTATCCTAACACCACGATGCTAACACTAGTATCCTAACACCACAATGCTAACACTAGTATCCTAACACCACGATGCTAACACTAGTATCCTAACACCACGATGCTAACACTAGTATCCTAACACCACAATGCTAACACTAGTATCCTAACACCAGGACGCTAACACTAGTATCCTAACACCAGGACGCTAACACTAGTATCCTAACACCACAATGCTAACACTAGTATCCTAACACCACAATGCTAACACTAGTATCCTAACACCACGATGCTAACACTAGTATCCTAACACCAGGACGCTAACACTAGTATCCTAACACCACGATGCTAACACTAGTATCCTAACACCACAATGCTAACACTAGTATCCTAACACCAGGACGCTAACACTAGTATCCTAACACCACGATGCTAACACTAGTATCCTAACACCACGATGCTAACACCAGGACGCTAACACTAGTATCCTAACACCACGATGCTAACACTAGTATCCTAACACCACAATGCTAACACTAGTATCCTAACACCGGGACGCTAACACTAGTATCCTAACACCACGATGCTAACACTAGTATCCTAACACCACAATGCTAACACTAGTATCCTAACACCACGATGCTAACACTAGTATCCTAACACCACAATGCTAACACTAGTATCCTAACACCACGATGCTAACACTAGTATCCTAACACCAGGACGCTAACACTAGTATCCTAACACCACGATGCTAACACTAGTATCCTAACACCACAATGCTAACACTAGTATCCTAACACCACGATGCTAACACTAGTATCCTAACACCACGATGCTAACACTAGTATCCTAACACCACAATGCTAACACTAGTATCCTAACACCAGGACGCTAACACTAGTATCCTAACACCAGGACGCTAACACTAGTATCCTAACACCACAATGCTAACACTAGTATCCTAACACCACAATGCTAACACTAGTATCCTAACACCAGGACGCTAACACTAGTATCCTAACACCACGATGCTAACACTAGTATCCTAACACCAGGACGCTAACACTAGTATCCTAACACCACGATGCTAACACTAGTATCCTAACACCACGATGCTAACACTAGTATCCTAACACCACGATGCTAACACCAGGACGCTAACACTAGTAGCCTAACACCACGATGCTAACACTAGTATCCTAACACCACAATGCTAACACTAATATCCTAACACCACGATGCTAACACTAGTATCCGAACACCACGATGCTAACACTAGTATCCTAACACCACGATGCTAACACTAGTATCCGAACACCACGATGCTAACACTAGTATCCTAACACCACGATGCTAACACTAGTATCCTAACACCACGATGCTAACACTAGTATCCTACCACCACGATGCTAACACTAGTATCCTACCACCACAATGCTAACACTAGTATCCTAACACCACGATGCTAACACTAGTATCCTACCACCACGATGCTAACACTAGTATCCTAACACCAGGACGCTAACACTAGTATCCTAACACCACGATGCTAACACTAGTATCCTAACACCACAATGCTAACACTAGTATCCTAACACCACGATGCTAACACTAGTATCCTAACACCACAATGCTAACACTAGTATCCTAACACCACGATGCTAACACTAGTATCCTAACACCACGATGCTAACACTAGTATCCTAACACCACAATGCTAACACTAGTATCCTAACACCAGGACGCTAACACTAGTATCCTAACACCACGATGCTAATACTAGTATCCTAACACCACAATGTTAACACTAGTATCCTAACACCACAATGCTAACACCAGGACGCTAACACTAGTATCCTAACACCACGATGCTAACACTAGTATCCTAACACCACGATGCTAACACTAGTATCCTAACACCACAATGCTAACACTAGTATCCTAACAACACGAAGCTAACACCACGATGCTAACACTAGTATCCTAGGGATGCACGATATTGGTTTTTTGAAACCGATACCGATAACTTCCTGCTTCTCAAGACCGATACCGATACCGATAATAATATAATATATATATATATATTAAATGTACCTGTAGTTTTTGCACACTTGGTGGTAAAAAGACTAGTAGTGAGCAAATGACATGAGCGTTACTACTATGAACAAAACAAAGCCAAGAACAGTTTTGACTCTTCAAAGTGACCATATTTATTTTCCCAAACAAATCTGGCAAACTTCTTGCCTTTTCCAAAAGCCTCGTCGATAGGTAAAAGCCCCGGTGCCTTTGCAGCTGGCTTTGGATTCGCCGCTAGTTTAGCAGCGCAGGCGTCTTCGTACGCTTTTAACACACCATCGTAGCGATGGCGATGTTTCAGGTGACTAATCAGGTTGGAAGTATTATAGCTCGTTGCCTTTTCCCTCCTCGTGGAACTTCTGCATTTGTTAATACAAATAGCAAGAGAACTATCTAACTCTGAAACTTTGAAATAGTCCCATACTACCGGCGACATGTTTGTTTACTGTCCTGGCTTCACGGTCGCACACCATTTACGTCACAGCCAGGCATGAGTTAGGGAGCGCTGGATTAGTGAAGAACTCCCCTCTTCCTAAACCACTAATACCACAGTACTGGCAAAACGGAAGGAGCCGAGTGAAAAACAAGCGCCCCTCATCCCAATCCACCCACACCGCAGTATTTCTTTCTTTTTTCCCACCCAAGAAATATATTGTATATTATCGGGGCTATTAATACTGGTATCGGGTTTATCGGGATGACGTCATAATTCCTAATATCGGACCGATAATTATCGGGCCGATAATTATCGTGCACCACTAATCCTAACACCACAATACTAACACCAGGACGCTAACACCAGTATCCTAACACCAGGACGCTAACACTAGTATCCTAACACCAGGACGCTAACACTAGTATCCTAACACCACGATGCTAACACTAGTATCCTAACACCACGATGCTAACACTAGTATCCTAACACCAGGACGCTAACACTAGTATCCTAACACCAGGACGCTAACACTAGTATCCTACCACCACGATGCTAACATTAGTATCCTAACACCACGATGCTAACACTAGTATCCTAACACCACGATGCTAACACTAGTATCCTAACACCACGATGCTAACACTAGTATCCTAACACCACGATGCTAACACTAGTATCCTACCACCACGATGCTAACATTAGTATCCTAACACCACAATGCTAATACTAGTATCCTACCACCACGATGCTAACACTAGTATCCTAACACCACGATGCTAACACTAGTATCCTAACACCACGATGCTAACATTAGTATCCTAACACCACGATGCTAACACTAGTATCCTAACACCACGATGCTAACATTAGTATCCTAACACCACGATGCTAACACTAGTATCCTAACACCACGAAGCTAACACTAGTATCCTAACACCACGATGCTAACACTAGTATCCTAACACCAGGACGCTAACACTAGTATCCTAACATTAGTATCCTAACACCACGATGCTAACACTAGTATCCTAACACCACGATGCTAACACTAGTATCCTAACACCACGATGCTAACATTAGTATCCTAACACCACGATGCTAACACTAGTATCCTAACACCACGATGCTAACATTAGTATCCTAACACCACGATGCTAACACTAGTATCCTAACACCACGAAGCTAACACTAGTATCCTAACACCACGATGCTAACACTAGTATCCTAACACCACGATGCTAACACTAGTATCCTAACACCACGATGCTAACACTAGTATCCTAACACCACGATGCTAACATTAGTATCCTAACAACACGAAGCTAACACCACACATGCTAACACTAGTATCCTAACACCACGATGCTAACACTAGTATCCTAACACCACGAAGCTAACACTAGTATCCTAACACCACGATGCTAACACTAGTATCCTAACACCACGATGCTAACACTAGTATCCTAACACCACGATGCTAACACTAGTATCCTAACACCACGATGCTAACATTAGTATCCTAACAACACGAAGCTAACACCACACATGCTAACACTAGTATCCTAACACCACGATGCTAACACTAGTATCCTAACACCACGAAGCTAACACTAGTATCCTAACACCACGATGCTAACACTAGTATCCTAACACCACGATGCTAACACTAGTATCCTAACACCACGATGCTAACACTAGTATCCTAACACCACGAAGCTAACACTAGTATCCTAACACCACGATGCTAACACTAGTATCCTAACACCACGATGCTAACATTAGTATCCTAACAACACGAAGCTAACACCACACATGCTAACACTAGTATCCTAACACCAGTATCCTAACAACACGATGCTAACACCACAATGCTAACACTAGTATCCTAACACCACGATGCTAACACTAGTATCCGAACACCACGATGCTAACACCAGGACGCTAGCATTAGTATCCTAACAACACGATGCTAACAGTAGCATGTAGCTGTTACCTTCTTTAGAGGGGGGGCGGGGGTACACCCGGCTCCACAGGGCGTCTTTACTGATAATTCGGACTAAAACCCACCACACACACACATACACACACGTAATGTTTTTAACGACTGCAGGATTTATTTACTGCTCATACTGCATTCATCCAAAACTTCTCCACACACTTATGAGGATCTTTTATGTAATTTTGATATCATGAATGTATTTCCTTGCACATGTGTAATAAAATGTCACAGTATTTAGTTTATTTTAGTTTACATAGGTGACCAAACAATTTGAGACTCACTGAGATAACTTAGACTAAAGTTAAAGTGAACTATCTCAACCCTCAGAGAGTCCCTCACCTCGCTGAGCTGTTATCAGCCTCTCAGTCTGACAGGAGAGAGCTCTCCTCCACCTTGTTGTCCACAGCTCCTTATGGCCGTTAGCTCTGATCTAGCACCAGATGCTAACAACAACAATCGGAACCGGTGATCGATCTCTCTCTCTCTCTCTCCGTGTGTATATATATATATAGATGTATATAGTGAGTATAGACTCTCACCCAGCAGGTCTCCAGAGAAGTTGACAGGCAGCACGATGCCCACTGAGAGGACCCCCACCACCACCAGCAGCCCAATGATGTGCCTCTGGAACGAGAGGTAGTGAACTGCATCCTCTCCACACTTCTCTCTGATCTCCTCATCCCTGCAGGAGGGGGGGGGGGGGGGGCATCATTATCATCATCATCATTACATCACATTGCATTTAGCTGACGCTTTTATCCAAAGCGACTTACAATAAGTACATTCGACCAGGAAGACACAACCTTGAAGAAAACAGAATCATAAAGTACATCAGGTTTCATAGAGCCAAACATTTCAAGTGCTACTCAACTGGCTTTAGATAAGCCAGCCCTTTGTTAGTATATAAGTGCTTTGTTAATAGTTCTATCGCTCGAAGTGGAGTCGAAAGAGATGAGTTTTCAGTCTGGAAGGTGTGTAAGCTATCTGCCGTCCTGATGTCAATGGGGAGCTCATTCCACCATCTTGGAGCCAGGACAGCAAACCCACGTGTTTCTGCTGATGGGAACTTGGGTCCCCTTCGCAGCGAGGGTGCAGCGAGTCGTTTGGCTGATGCAGAGCGGAGTGCACGCGCTGGGGTGTACGGTTTAACCATGTCCTGGATGTAGGAAGGGCCAGATCCATTCGCAGCATGGTAAGCAAGTACCAGTGTCTTGAAGTGGATTCTAGCAGTTACCGGAAGCCAGTGAAGGGAGCGGAGGAGCGGAGTGGTGTGGGAACATTTAGGAAGGTTGAAGACCAGACGAGCCGCTGCATTCTGGATGAGCTGCAGAGGTCGGATGGCTCATGCAGGTAGACCAGCCAGGAGGGAGTTGCAGTAGTCTAGGCGTGAGGTGACGAGAGCCTGGACCAGAACCTGAGTCGCTTTCTGAGTCAGCTGGGGACGTATCTTCCTGATGTTGTAAAGCGTGTATCTGCAGCAGCGGGTTGTAGCAGCGATGTTTGCAGTGAAGGACAGGTTGTTATCTAGGGTCACACCCAGATTCCTTGCAGTCTGAGTCGGGGAAACAACAGAGGGGCCGATGTTGATTGTTAGGTCAAGAGTGGGACAATCTTTTCCCGGAAGGAAGAGCAGCTCAGTCTTGTCAAGGCTGAGCTTGAGGTGGTGAGCAGACATCCACTGAGAGATGTCAGCTAGACAAGCAGAGATGCGTGCGACGACCTGGGTCTCTGAGCGGGGGAAGGACAGAATTAGTTGGGTGTCGTCAGCGTAGCAGTGGTAAGAAAAACCATGCGGGCTAATGACAGATCCGAGCGAGTTTGTGTACAAGGAGAAGAGGAGGGGACCAAGAACAGAGCCCTGAGGGACCCCTGTAGTTAATTGACAAGGGTCAGACTCCGACCCTCTCCAAGTGACCCTGTAGGTGCGGTCTTTGAGGTATGAGGTGAGGAGGGAAAGTGCAGAGCCTGAAACTCCAAGTTCTTGGAGAGTGCGAAGGAGGATCTGATGATTCACCGTGTCGAATGCAGCAGACAGGTCCAAAAGGATGATGACAGAGGAGAGGGAGGCTGCTTTAGCAGTGTGCAGTTCCTCCGTGACAGCAATGAGAGCAGTTTCTGTGGAGTGACCTGCCTTGAAACCAGACTGGTGCGGATCCAGAAGGTTGTTCTGATGGAGATAGCAGGAGAGTTGTTTAAAGACAGCGCGTTCAAGTGATTTAGACAGGAACGGGAGGAGAGAGACAGGCCTGTAGTTTATAACATCAGACGGGTTGAGAGTGGGTTTCTTTAGGAGAGGGTTTACTCTTGCCTCCTTGAGACTGTTTGGAAAGTGACCAGAAGTTAGAGAAGTGTTGATGAAATGGGTGAGAAACGGTAGAATATCAGGAGCGATAGTCTGAAGGAGGTTTGAAGGGATAGGGTCCAGAGGACAGGTGGTAGGGCGGGCAGAGGTAATGAGGGTAAGAACCTCACTTGGAGAGAGAGGGGAAAAGGAGGTTATCATCTTCATCACCACCATCATCATCACCACCATCATCCTCTAGCTAACACTTCTCGCTGATCTCCTCATCCCTACAGGAGGGGGGAATTGTTGTTGTTGACTTAAATTGATATTAGATGATACTCACTTTATTCTGAAGATGGCCGTCAGCCAGGAGCAGAAACCCTGCAGACACAGAGAAGAGTCAGGAGGAGAGGAGGTGATGGGGGGATGAGACAAGGGGGATAAAGGAGGAGTAAAGGAGTCTCACGTTGTCCCTCTGGTCGAAGTCCACGGAGCTGGAGACGGAGGTGAGTCGCTCGTATCGGTCCGGAGTCTCCGAATGCATCGCCGAGGCAACGCTGTGAAACAGGAAGTGAGCCGTTAGCTGTTAGCATGTAGCCGCCCTGCTGAAGACAGAGGGAGCTAACAGGAAGTAGAAACACACACCTTTATTGACACAGCTGCAATAAAACAGCACGGTGAGGATAGGATGGTCGTCAGGGTGCAACACGTTAAAAATAAACAGTTTCATTTTGTTCTAAATTGCAAATATTCTGCGCTGCCTTGAAGCTAGCTCGTTCTGCGCTGCCTTGAAGCTAGCTCGTTCTGCGCTGCTTTGAAGCTAGCTCGTTCTGCGCTGCTTTGAAGCTAGCTCGTTCTGCGCTGCCTTGAAGCTAGCTCGTTCTGCGCTGCTTTGAAGCTAGCTCGTTCTGCGCTGCCTTAAAGCTAGCTCGTTCTGCGCTGCCTTAAAGCTAGCTCGTTCTGCGCTGCCTTGAAGCTAGCTCGTTCTGCGCTGCCTTGAAGCTAGCTCGTTCTGCGCTGCTTTGAAGCTAGCTCGTTCTGCGCTGCCTTGAAGCTAGCTCGTTCTGCGCTGCCTTGAAGCTAGCTCGTTCTGCGCTGCTTTGAAGCTAGCTCGTTCTGCGCTGCCTTGAAGCTAGCTCGTTCTGCGCTGCCTTGAAGCTAGCTCGTTCTGAAGCTAGCTCGTTATGCGCTGCTTTGAAGCTAGCTCGTTACTCTAAATACAAGTCCTCCTCTCTTACTACTAAAGCACATTCAGTAGAACAAGTGCTTTCACTTCATTACAATTAACTAAGAATAATTCTGTATTTTGCTAATCTCAAATACAATAAATAAACTATTTGTAATACTTGAAATTGGCCTGGGAATACTTATCTATTACTTTAATGTAAACATTGATGGTAGGACTTTAAAGGTAGTATTTTTTTAAAAGTAGTACTTTTATATGCAGTATTTATGGTACTTCTCCCACCTCTGGATGTTTGGAGTTAGCTAAGCAGCTAACTATATAGCTAGCACGGGGTCACGGGGTCACGACACGGAGATAAACACGTTCGACCCGTTACCTTTTCACTGGCTCATAGTTATCTCTGTCTCGCCGCCGGCTGACGTTACGTATCAAATGAAGCAAAGTGTGGGAGCAGGGTTAGCATCGCATGTTAGCATCACACGTTAGCATCAAATGTTAGCACCACATCAGTAAGAATCAAATGTTAGCACCACATCTGTTAGCGTAACATTTGCCGACAGTGATCCAGACCCACACACACCAGTGTTGATGGTGTATGAGAGGTGATTAGTGCCACATGTGAGTGTTGATGTTTTAACATCCGCTTTAATATTTATTATTTCCCATTTAAAAAAAAATCTTAGTTCAATCAAACTAAATTAATTGAAAACAAAAAATGTAATTTGTCGACTACCGCAAAAGGTGTCAGATAAATAATGTTAGTGTTCTGCAGAAAGAGTACTTTTACCTACTTAAAGTACTTTACACTGAGTACACACTCCAGGTAGCAAAGTGTGTACTTCAGTAGGGGGCAGCACTCTCCTGATCACTTGATGTATAACTCAGATATCAGACCCTCATCTATACATGTGGCACTGATCACCTTCATACACCAGAGAGGTGGCACCAGTAACCCCTGTACCAACGAAGAAGAAGGAGAAAGGAGTAAGAGGAGGTGTTAGTGCACCAATCAGAGAGCAGCTCCTGTTAATGAACCAGAGGAAGTCGTTAGGACAAACCAAACATGGCGGAGCAGCAACGTACTATTCCCGCTCGTCCTCACTGAAGCGCTGCTTCAGTCTTCAGGGGAAGAACACAGTCACTCACAACAAATACACGTTATTAACAGCAGGAACAAAACAAACTTTATTAACACCTGGTGAAACACAACAAACATGACTTTTTCTTGTAAATTAACCTTTTTTTGGAGAATTTCCAAGATTTGTTATTGTATATATAAATCTCACGTTCTTTGTATATTCATCATATAACCTAAAGGTCTCCTATCATGCTATTTTAAGGTATAATGGGTCTCAGATATATACAGATATATAAAAAACATGTCAAGGGTGTGTTTTGCTCCTAACACCAAACAGATCAGAGAATGTCTTTCCCATAGATGTCTCAGTGTTTCTTTAAACTGAAGGTTAAAGGTCGGTAAGAACGGAGAAGCTCGAGGGCGCTAGAATCTGAAAGTACGCAGCCGAAAAACATCTGCCCCTTCCTTCAGACTTCCTCACAGAGCCCCTCCTCCAACACACACGCACATGACCAATGAGGGCAGAGATCAGTGTGTGCCCCGATGGAAGGCTGACAGGCAGGTAGGCCATCCAGTTACTTTAGCCTCAGATGATTGGTCGAGCTTTTTACAGCGCCACGGCTTCAAAGCACTTCAGATATTCATTGCTATCGGGACGTTAAGAGCATTCCATGGAATATAACAACAAGTGTTTCCGAAGTGAATGACCTACCCCACCTTTAAAGAGTTTGGGACCTAAGATTTTCATTGCCATAACTACACTGTAGCTACTGTGCATATGATGATACAGCAGAATAAGAATCAAGTGTATTGCCAGGTAAAATGTGAAGAAGCAGTCAGAGAGTTGAGCATGAACATGGATCACAGTGCTAAGAGCCAGAGGTTGGTCACGTGATGCTCATTAAGTACTGCACGATGTTTTTGGGTGGATAGGAATAAAACCCTAGAATCTTAATTGTAAACAGTTGAATATCAGAGGAGAAAGCACAAGGTGTGTTTACCTGTCGGCGTCAGTGACCAGCGCCAGGCGGCCATAATCCCACGCTACCTTCCTCAGGATGGAGAAGACGAAGAGCAGCACCTGAAGAGGAGGAGGAAGAGCTTCCTGTCAGTCAGATTCAAACCTCTTCATGTGTCTGTCTGTCTGTGTGTGTGTGTGTGTCTGTGTGTGTCAATGAGGCTGCAGAATAGATTTTTCCTACAGTCAGTGAACACCACAGCCCCCACAATGCATCAGGAGAGCTACTTTAACACCAGCTGTTGATTATCCTCTGTGTGACAGAGGTTGATGTTATTAGGGATGGGAATTTGAAAGCAAATGTATATTCGAATATTCGACCCCCCAAAAAACGGTTAACCGGTTAACTGAAATGTACATATCCTAGAAAAAAAATAATTGGGTAAAAAAAAAAATTTCTAAATTTTTTTTTTCCAATAACTTTTGGAAATAAATAAATACATGTTCAAATAAGTTTAGAAACCAAGTCAAATTAGTCAAATGTATTGAACTGGTGATCACAGTTTGACAGCTATAGGCCTACAGCTTTCATGTGGAGGCGATTCACAATCAGGCCAGCTGGAGAGAAGACCCTCTCAGCTGGAACGGAGGTTGCGGGTATAGCAAGGTATAGCATGTATAGCATGTATAGTTTAATTTGGCATAGTTTGACCTCTACACCGCACTCACTAACCTGGTCCAAATATTTCCACACATTACTCCTTTTTGACGCCATGACGTAGGACTCTTCTTAGAGTGTAAATAATTACCGGACTATGACTGGTAAAATATGTTGAATACCGGCAAAACTAAATCTCTCCTGTCAAAATGTCTATGCACTTTGCCGCCACACACGGTTGCCAAGCAGCGAGTGTTGACAGGGGGCGGGGGAGCACGCTCATGAACTGTTAGCGCCGGAACCTCGCAACGGCTGCGGAGCGCATTTGGGCCTAAGATTCGGTTTGAGTCTGCGTGATCTGCGTGTAGGGAGGGGCAGCAGCCATATCATTGGCTAGAACTAGATCTGATGGATTTGGTCATAAACGCAAGTGAAGTATAACCGGACGCGAGAGAGAGATCAGCACCTGCAGCTCTGCAAGCTGTGAGGGACCGGTGAGCGGAGCAAAACACACCTTTAGACGTCACCTAACACACTTAGCTATGGCACTGTCATATACATTTAATTATTCAATTTGATAATATGTAATCAACTTAGGCATCACTCCCAAAACAAAAAAAAAATGTATAAAAATATTCAAAACTCATATTCGAAACCTGAATAATTTCGAATATTCGATGAATCGTTCCCATCCCTAGTTGTTATTGACACATGTCTCATAGCTATTGGTAATATTGATTTATCAGAATCAGGTTTATCTCCAGGTGGGTTTACACGTACGAGGAATCTGACTTGGTGTCGTGGTGCGTACATAAAAGGTAAACAAAGATTACAAACTCAGATAAAAAGGTATTTTAAGAAAACTATAAATATTATTTACATTGAAATAGAATGGAATAAAAAATAAAATGTGTTTATTATTTACTGTTTGTAATGTCTTGTCAACATGCTGCTGTACTGGGATCACTAAAGTATATAAATCTAAAATCTAAAGTGTATCTGTGCTCTTATTTCCTCTCAGACCTACTGGAGTAACAGAACGGGAGATTTTAACTGGCTTCTTAAAATATATACATGTTGTATTCAAATCCAGACACTGACGTGTGTGTGTGTGTGTGTGTGTGTGTGTGTGTGTGTGTGTGTGTGTGTGTGTGTGTGTGTGTGTGTGTGTGTGTGTGTGTGTGTGTGTGTGTGTGTGTGTGTGTGTGTGTGTGTGTGTGTGTGTGTGTGTGTGTGTGTGTTTCTCACCAGGAAGCACATGAAGTCCAGAGCCAGCACAGTGGGCACCCCCCCAAAGGGCAGCCCCTGCAGCACGGTGCTGCGTATCCGGGCAGAATAGCAGTAATCTTTGGACTCGCTGTTAGCGGAGCAGTTCTCCCCGGTGCACGCCTGCCCCCCCCCTCCGTACATCACCATGGCAACGATCAGCGCTCTGAGCATGCTCAGTGCGGCATCCTGGCAGAGAACCTGTGAGGTGGGGGGAGAGAGGCAGGGAGTCAACAAAAGAAACACCTGGGCCCTTTCTAATTTTTCTAATTTCCCCTCCTCGAATCCGGTAAAGGAGTAATAAAGGTAGTGACCCGGAAGGACATCTCATTTCTCTAAATGCACTTCGACGACCGAAGATCGAGCATCGAGGAGGCTCTCTGGAGGAGCTATAACCGAGGAGAGAGGAGAGAGGAGGCTCTCTGGAGGAGCTATAACCGAGGAGAGGAGGCTCTCTGGAGGAGCTATAACCGAGGAGAGAGGAGGCTCTCTGGAGGAGTTATAACCGAGGAGAGAGGAGGCTCTCTGGAGGAGCTATAACCGAGGAGAGAGGAGGCTCTCTGGCGGAGCTCTAACCGAGGAGAGAGGAGGCTCTCTGGAGGAGCTATAACCGAGGAGAGGAGGCTTCTCTGGAGGAGCTATACCGAGGAGAGGAGGCTCTCTGGAGGAGCTCTAACCGAGGAGAGGAGGCTCTCTGGAGGAGCTATAACCGAGGAGAGGAGGCTCTCTGGAGGAGCTCTAACCGAGGAGAGAGGAGGCTCTCTGGAGGAGCTATAACCGAGGAGAGAGGAGGCTCTCTGGAGGAGCTATAACCGAGGAGAGAGGAGAGAGGAGGCTCTCTGGAGGAGCTATAACCGAGGAGAGAGGAGGCTCTCTGGAGGAGCTATAACCGAGGAGAGAGGAGGCTCTCTGGAGGAGCTATAACCGAGGAGAGAGGAGGCTCTCTGGAGGAGCTATAACCGAGGAGAGAGGAGGCTCTCTGGAGGAGCTATAACCGAGGAGAGAGGAGGCTCTCTGGAGGAGCTATAACCGAGGAGAGGAGGCTCTCTGGCGGAGCTCTAACCGAGGAGAGAGGAGGCTCTCTGGAGGAGCTATAACCGAGGAGAGGAGGCTCTCTGGAGGAGCTCTAACCGAGGAGAGAGGAGGCTCTCTGGAGGAGCTATAACCGAGGAGAGAGGAGGCTCTCTGGCGGAGCTCTAACCGAGGAGAGAGGAGGCTCTCTGGAGGAGCTATAACCGAGGAGAGAGGAGAGACAGAGACAGAGAGACAGAGACAGAGACAGAGACAGAGACAGAGACAGAGACAGAGAAGAGACAGAGAGAGAGAGAGAGAGAGAGAGAGAGAGAGAGAGAGAGAGAGAGAGAGAGAGAGAGAAAAAGAGAGAGAGAGAATCCAGATGTTTCTAAGAACATTTAGTGCTTCACATAATAAAATACACAGCGGCTGTATCCTGATATATATGATATGCTTTAGGAGCTGTAGGTGCGTGTTGTACCGTGTGTGTGTGTGTGTGTGTGTGTGTGTGTGTGGTACAGTGTGTAGGTGTGTGTGGTATAGGGCTCAACGATTCATCGATTTTAAATCGAAATCGCGATTTTAAATGATGCAATTATCAAATCGCAAAGCTTTCGATTTGATAATTGTTGTTGTTCTTCTTGTGTGTCAGTCATCCACACCAATCAGAAGTGCTGTGCTCCACATGTACCAGCCATTGTTAACCAATCAGAAGTGCTGTGCTCCACATGCACCAGCCATTGTTAACCAATCAGAAGTGCTGTGCTCCACATGCACCAGCCATTGTTAACCAATCAGAAGTGCTGTGCTCCACATGCACCAGCCATTGTTAACCAATCAGAAGTGCTGTGCTCCACATGCACCAGCCATTGTTAACCAATCAGAAGTGCTGTGCTCCACATGTACCAGCCATTGTTAACCAATCAGAAGTGCTGTGCTCCACATGTACCAGCCATTGTTAACCAATCAGAAGTGCTGTGCTCCACATGTACCAGCCATTGTTAACCAATCAGAAGTGCTGTGCTCCACATGTACCAGCCATTGTTAACCAATCAGAAGTGCTGTGCTCCACATGTACCAGCCATTGTTAACCAATCAGAAGTGCTGTGCTCCACATGTACCAGCCATTGTTAACCAATCAGAAGCGCTGTGCTCCACATGTACCAGCTTCCAATGGAGCTCTCCTAGATGGTTTCTGAGTCCGGTTAGCAATGCTCCATCACATGTTTCTATTACAGGGTGAATCTGAAACTGAAGCTTGTAGTGATGGGAGTTACGGCTCTTTGAAGGGAGCCGGATCTTATGGCTCCGTTCCTTTCAAAGAGCCGTTCAAAAGAGCCGTTTTTTTAAAGGGGGCGGGGTTACTAGGTTTATCTGCGAAATAATCACCAGGATAATGATTGACTGTATTGCCAGACCTAATGTCAATAATCTGCATTGTAAACATGACACAAGGTGGCGCTGTATCCATGTCATCCTGTCAGTGAATGTACTTTGAATTTACCCTCTGTATGTGTGAAGTAAATAAAGTTGCCTTGCCTTGAATGAAATTCACGCAACTCTTAATATTAGATGCTGTGTTTTTAAGTGGCGATGGAGATTATTAGTTGACCCTGCTTTAAAGGATATGTTGCCTTTACAAATGGTGCTCTTTATCACTGCCTGGGTTTTGGTTGAAGTGCATCCAAATGCTTTTCGCGTTTGGCTCATTTTCCATCTGAAAAACACGTGGCCTCCTGTCCTGTACCACTTGTTATGACTTCTCTCTCCCGCGTATTCCCTTAAGACCCACCCCATCTCACTCCTCGTGCTGAAACCTACCAATCGGAGTAGAGGCGGGTCTTCACAGAATACGTTTGGGGAACAAAATCAAGCTTTTTAAAAGGCGAGTGGATTTTGGCAGTGAGTGCGGACCAACGATGGAACGATAACAAGAACGGCTCTCACCCAGTACGACTCGGGTCCCCTCGTTCGTAGAGCCGTTCAAAAGAATTGGCTCGTTCGCGACCGACACATCACTTGAAGCTGGACTTTAAAGCAACCCAACGGAAGTTTCATGTAAGTTTAGTTCTTTCACTCGTAGCTCGGGCTGCGGGGCGCTAGAGACGGGAGCACGTTGATGCGACCTTCCTAGCCGGAGATATGGCCGCATTTTACAATAAACTTCCGTTGGGTCGCTTAAAAACAAATAATTCGCAAATCGAATCGCAATATCAGTCAGAAAAATCGCAATTAGAATATTTCCCCAAATCGTGCAGCCCTAAGTGTGGTACAGCGTGTGAGTGTGTAGATGCGGCGGACAGACAGGTCTCTATATATATGTGTGTATATGTCCGCATCTGTAGCCTGTTATTGTCTCATTATACCGCCCTTAAAGTAAATAAGTGGTCATGAACGATCTGTCCATCAGACAGAGGGCTGCTGCCTCCTGTCATCATTAATGGACGTCTCTTTCAAATGACCGCTCAGAGGAGAGGAGTTCTCCTTCCTCTAACCGCCTGCTGCTTCCCCTCCTCTCTCCTCTCTCCTCGATTCCTCCGCTCACATCTCCTGTGGGCGGGACTAAGACACGAGGATAGGAGTCGAGGAGGGGAATTAGTGAAATGAGAAAGGGCCCTGATGTTTACACCAGATCACCAGAGGCCTGTACTACGAAGCCTGATGTTCTCTTAGCGGCTAGCTTCAGGGAAAACTCTGGGTTTCCAGTCCTACGACGCTGGTTCTCTTTTTAGCGGGCTAGATCTCCATGGTAACTGATGCTGAACGGCATTCATATCACATCATCAATCAGATCATTCATATCACTTCATAATGTATCATCTCCTGATCTGAGTCAGCTGAGCCGTATCTGGCCGTGCAACACTCACAGCGTCACAGACTGGATGCAGAAGCATTATTTGAAGCAACACATTAAGTTGAGGAAACACTGGAGTCAGATGTAATGAAAGTCAGATGGTGTCTTAGACGGGCAGTGATATCATAAAGCTGTTAATGTACGCATTCAAACACTTGTTCTTTGCACGGTCACATGACTTCACGTCACCACCGCTAAGCTCAAGGCGGCTAACGTTTAATAATTGTTATTATTTATTTCATAATAAGTTAATTTAATTGAATTGTTTTCTTGATCACAAAATGTGCTAAAACAACTTAAGAAATGTTGAAAGTATAATTAAATTATAAATAAGATCACAGAAGATGCAGCGGCAGTGAAGGGAGCGCCTGTGTTTCAGCGGACTACATTTCCCAGCATGCCTTAGTCCTCTGTATGAAATATTAAACACATTAAATATATATTATAATTTCAAAAGTATTCTCACTGTAAAACCTGTTTACATGTCAAATAAACTAAATTACATTTATTTTGCATTTCAAATTCTGTACACCAGCCTACCTCAAATATATTTTATATTTTTTTATTTCATTATAAATTTATATATTTGTATTATTATATTGTTTTTTTATTATATATATTTTTTTAATATATTATTTTATTATATATTTGTATTATACATTTTAGAATGGTATTACATATTTGATCCATGATGTACCTTCCTTTGTGTAATGTCTTTGTTTCGCTTGATTTGTATTCATATTTAATGAGCATTGTCTGAAGGAGCTAATGTCTCGTAATAAATCACATTTCTGACTTCCTTTCTGCCGTATTGCTGTCAGCATTCTGGGTTTCACTTGTTCCTGCAGTTTCTTTAGAGAAGCGTAGAAGCGTTTCTTAAAATAGACCTCGTTTTTTAACCTGTTAAGGCCTGAGCCTGTTTTTCAGGTCTCAGGCTCGAAAATGACATTCCTGTGAGTTGGATGTAGAAAAGTCAGAATCAATAAAAATTAGGGCTGTCAGTCGATTAAAATAGTTAATCGCGACTGATCGCAAATTAACCGCACATTTTTGATCTGTTCTAAATGTTCCTTAGAGGAATATTTTTCAAGTTTTTAATACTCTTATCAACATATGAGCGGACAAATATGCTTTATGCTAATGTTTATTATCATTTGAACAATGACAAATATTCTCATGAATATTAAACACAACAACCTGTGTGTGTGTGTGTGTGTGTGTGTGTGTGTGTGTGTGTGTGTGTGTGTGTGTGTGTGTGTGTGTGAGTGTGTGTGTGATGGATCGTTGGAGCTATGTGCAACTCAAGGCATATGCTCGAACGGGAGCTGCCTGGACGCTGCAATCATGTTGCGCACTATCCGTG